TCGTCCGCACTGCCGGCCAATGGGATCGCACGGCCACACTGGCGGCCATCTTGGTACAGTCCACTCGCTCACCCATAACATTGTGCTGTCGTGGTGCATGTACTTTTTAAATAACCATAACTTGCTAAATTTTCTACCAACGGTTTGGTTTGTTATAAACGTCAGAGGTGTAGTTATAACACTGCACTGACGGATAATTATGGTACACAGCAACAATTTGTATTTTAATTATTTTGTATTTTATTTGTATTTTTGTCATTTGAATTGTAGCCACGTTAATGAGAAACCAAACTGTAAATCCGTATTTACGTTTGTGCAGATCACTCACTTTCCTTCACGTACCACAGGTTGCACCAGAGAGCTGCCCCAAATCAAGATGGCCGAAGGGTGATCCCGTTCAAAACACCGCCTTAAGACGTCTAGCCTTTATTATACATATCTATCTATAGTTGGGAGCATATAGGGCAAATATTAAAACATTATTTAAAGCAGTTGGTCGGCTTACTTGCAAATCTCATGAGGTCAACAAGTACAAGGCTTCAGCGCTTCAGCACGTCACCGTTTAGGATTATAAAGCTATACGACCTACAGAACAATGGAATGGGTTTGAAATGCCTGCAGGCAACAGGAAAAAAAAAAAAAGACTCCTCTGAGAATCTATACGATCAGGGAAAGAAAAGGATTTTCAAAAAATTCTTGCCTTCCTTACATTATCACCATCTGCACACCGACCTCCACTGGATCTTCCACAAATGGCGATACCGCTCCTCCAAGACAATCAGTGAGTCAGCAGGTAGTGTTTTTACACCAGTTACCTCCAACACAACCCGCTACGGAGCCGTTACCGTGGTGATGGCAAGAGGTGAACCTCCGTCTTAAGCCTGAAAATCTACGATTAAGCTCGAAGTTACCTCTTTAACCCCAAAATCCTGCAGCCTGGTGGAACAGGCCTCCCGGGTCGGCTCAGTCCGATCTGAACACACGAGCGAGATGCACGTTTACAGACGCAATCACCGCGGGTAACCCTTTAAGTCGTGTCCACCGTGAACAAACGCAGAAGATTTGATCAAACACGGGCTGAAAAAACGGCTCCCGAGTCGTATTTCACAGTGTAGCTAACAGCAACGTCACACTTCACAGGTTTCACAGAGTTACGAGACTTTACACCATAAATACAGTCAGTTTTTTGGGCCGCTGCTTAAATGAGGCTTTGATGATGATGAAACGCGCGTCTCTTTTCAGTCACTTCGCATACTTAATCAAGCCACGGGTTCCTTTTAGAACTTTTTCATCGGAACAAAGTGGTCTTCTGTTGCTCCTGTGGGTTTTTTTTTTTTTTAAAGGCGTGCAGAGTCTCCCATCAGTTTTAACCGCCTACACAAAGCAGCTGCACATCGTTTAAAAGGAGCTACGTTCAGGGCAGTTTCCACGTTTCTTTATCTGGTGCTACCTGCTGAACAAAAACCACAGTGGTTCAGTGAAGCTGTGCGACAACAGCGTGATGTGTTTCCCCAGCAAGACGACCAAACGGTGCCCTAATCAGGCCCTGTTTCACTGAACAGAACAGAAATACTTAACTGATCCTCACGTGGAAATTCTGTCGTTACAGTCAGAGCAAAAAGAGTGAAGTGACCACCACCACTAATATAAATAAAAAGGCAGAAAATAAATCTGATAAGAGGAAAAATACACTAAATGAACAATAAAGTGTGAAATATGCTGCGAGTATGAAAATGAAAAATGCACCATAAAGAGTCAATGTTTTGTTTATTTAGCAGCACAAGTCATGATACGACTAAAACAACAAAACTCTCCAATCTTCAAGTCAAATTGAATCAGATTTATTTATTTTGGAAGTCTATAAAAACAACCTGAGTTGACCAAAGTGCTGTACAGGTTCATAGACAGGCAGCAAAAACTATAAGTAGCCAGAAAATATAACACACAATATAAAATATTATGGCATGCTGTTTGGGAAATTATATATATAATGAAAATCTGAATATATATAATGAAAGTCTGAATATATGGAATTAAAGTCTGAATATATGTAATGAAAGTCTGAATATATAGAATGAAAGTCTGAATATATGGAATGAAAGTCTGAATATATGGAATGAAAGTCTGAATATATGGAATGAAAGTCTGAATATATGGAATGAAATTCTGTATATAATGAAAATCTGAATATATAACAAGTATAATCAATACCTAAAACTAAATAATAGAGCATGAAACACTAAAACTGGCAGCAAGAGATGCTGTCCTCACTTTTTTTTTTTTTAATGTTAGAAATATCCCTGAGGATGTAGTATTTATATATTATTTTTTTCATTCTTGACTAAAAACGTCCCCAGCTCCATCTGTATTTGCCTTTTTTGTCCGTAATCTCTTTAACTCGAGTCCAATAAACAATCCAAAGCTTCATGAAAGTGCACCAGCAGGAAGCAAAAAGCAGCAATTATCTTCAAAGATATTCTGCCTCTTATTAAATGAAATAATTAATGCGCGCTTTAAAGATGCAAGCCACTGTTTTCCCTCGGATTTGTTTTCATGCTCCAAAAGCAAGCGTGCCACACGACTTCATGAATTTATTTAACGCAAAATGCAAAAAATATGAACAAACCACAGCTCTCAGGTACATGAGGAATAAAAAAAAAAGTAGAATCTGAACTGCAGTGGATGAAAAACAACAATTAGATTTTTTTAAAAAGCTGTATTTTAAAAGTGCGTTTAAGTGTCGTTCTGGACCGAATGTACATATGCTCTGGGTTTCCTCTCGCCGTTTGAACTGACTGGATAATTTGCGGCGCACATTAGCACTTCATTATGATTCAAATGAGCTAAGTAAGTCACGCAGTGGTCACACTCTGAATCCAATGTGACTCATGAAGTTAATTGTAAGCAAGCTGTGTTAGAAATGTCACAGTGACTCTGTGTTAAGTAATAGATCCTCAAAACAAATGAGGAGAAAACATACAAACGTGTTTTCCCCAAATTCAGACAACGGGGAAGAAAAAGTGCAGTAAAAAAAAAAAAGAAGGGGGCTGAAGCTGTTTTATGACTGGATATCAGATTAAATTATGTTTAAATTGCAATCTATCCCTGTAGAAGCAACCTGCCAGCATTTTTAACTGCTCTGTGTCAGAAAATTATGCTTTTTGGAGAGAGGAATTGGCAGTGCAACAGCTACTACGTGTGTCCTGTACTCCATTTCAGCCGACTACATTCTGAACAAATCTACAAAAAGCTGGTTTTAAATATCTCCGTTTTGCAATATTTACAGGAGCCCTCCAGTAAAAAGCAGGATTTGCACTTGTCCGTGTGGTGTTTTTATGCGCTACAAGACACATTAAGAGCAGAATAAGTAGTCAATGGTTGAGCGTTTCCACCTTGAAGCCAAACAAACCTGAAGATGTTTCTGTATCGCTGTTATTCTTCAGAATTCGTTCCCAGACCAAACACTTACGTCTGAATTACTCCAGTAGTACAACTTGCCATTGTGAAGTGTTTTATAGTGTCTGAGCGGCCTTGTGGGTGAGCTGGTGTGCTTGAGAGGTAGCAAGTTGGCAGAGGGCTGGAGAGGCTGGGACTCCAAAGGTGAAGAGTCACACCTATTTTCGGACGATTGAGCGCGTCTGAATATAAGCCGCACCCGCTAACTTTAAAAAGAAAAAGAATGTGCACATATACAGGCCGAAGATTTGTTTAACTTAAATACGTACCGGTAACAAACAAATACGTAAATGCTTTTTTTCTGAACAGTGCCTGTAACACGGCTGGTTAAAGAAATGAAAAACACAGCAGCCTACCAGGAGAAGTCATTGATCGCTATCTTCATCTTCCTCCTGCACTAAAACCACTAAAGTCGTCTTCTTCAGTGTCGCAATTGAACAGCCTCAAAATTCCTTCGTCACTTCCTCAGCCTCTCTTTCGTTGTCGCTCGCAAATTCATAAAAATTGCAAAAATCCATAAATTAGCCGCATCATTGTTTAAGCCGCAGTTTGAAAAAAGTAGCGGCTCATTGTCCAGAATATACAGTAGGCTGTTTGAAAGCCAAATTATTTTCATAGGGGGGAAAAATTCTTAGATGAGTTTTTAGAGGCTATTTCAGTCATTGGAAAGAAACTTAAAGATACAGGAAGAATGTTTATGTAAGATTTTTCTTTAAATGTTTGGAGCTTGGTCAAAAGAAGCCGTGGGTTATTTTCTCTAAGAGCAACTAACATAAAACTGTACATTCAGGATGACGTGAATGGTATGGAGAATAGGAAACTACTTCCTGTTGAGCTGAAAGATGGTATTTGTAGCCAGTCGATGTTTAAACTGGACAGTTTGTTAACTGGGGCGATCGCTGCTGCAAAATACGTCACGTCACCAAACTTTGTGTGATACAAAGGTGTCTAACTGGTGCAATGAAATTAACACAAGAGCGGAGGCGATGTCAGAAGGTCTGCACATGCCCACACAGTCCTGAGAAGAAGCGGCACAAGTGAGCAGAACCGTGTGGGTGGACAGTGGGTGGGTTTCTCTAAAGCAGCCCTCTGGACTTTCCTTGCACACAAGCAAAAGTTATGTTTACATTTACACCCAAACCTATCGCGTCGTCTCCTTGAGCTCTGGCAAACATGTAAAGCAGATGAAGTAGAAAACCAAATCCAGCCCTGTTTACATGCATGTTTACTAGCTCGCAGCCTCCCCTGCCTTCGCTGGGACACTGCAGCAGCACAAAATATAAAACAGGAGCAAAGCAACAGCAAACAAAAACAGAGGACTTCTGGAGGACAATGTACGGGTTTGCTCAGGACATTCCACAAACATGATTCTCAACAGTTTACAGAGAGGCCACTCTCCAAGCCTAAAGTGGCACCAATTAGCATTAAGTGAGAAAACTAAGGGTTTCAGTGATTACAAAGTGCTGATTGTTTGCTGCGTTTTCCAGGAACATGATCGGCTTCGAGGGCCTGAAGTGGTGAGAGCCTGAGAGGCGGCCGCTTCAATGGCGTGGACCGAACCGCGGTCGCATCCGGACCCACAGCCACAACCGAAGCTGACGGTCCGCAGCCTCAGGACTCACACAGCATCTTCATCAGCCGTCCTCCTCCTCCTCATCCTCTGGTTCGCTGCCTTTTCTGGCCCCTGCACAGCCGGTCCACCCCAGCCCGCCCGCCCTCCTCTCCTGTCCGGACAGCCTTTCATTATCTTCTGGGGCATCCGTGACTCTTCGTGCTCCGGCCGGCCAGATCCCAGATCCTTTGGGATGGAACGGGAAGGCCGCGTGGCGGTCTTCTACAGGGATTCGTTGGGGAACTACCCGTATTTTGTGGACAAGGACACACCGGTCAACGGGGGGCTACCGCAGCACACTCGCCTGGACAGCCACCTCCAGAAGACACAGCAGGACCTGGAGGCTGCTCTACCCGCCCCGAGGTACCTGGGGCTGGGGGTGCTGCGCTGGGCCGAGTGGGTCCCCCAGTGGTCGAGGAACCAAGAGAAGCAGGCGACGTATCAGGAGGCGTCCAGGAACTTGCTGAGGTCGTTTTTCCCAAGCTGGACCCCAGAAGAGGTGGAGAAGTGGTCAAAGGTAGGAAAGGTGGACATACAGGGAAGAGAAAACAAGTCTAAAAGATAAAAGTAAGAGAAAATAGGCACCATGCATGAAAAGGAAAGAGGCATAAGGTAAAGGCTGAGGCAGCACTGATAGAGAGGAAACCTACAAAGCTGCAGGCAGATGGGGGAGGATGCAAGACGCCAGTTTTCTCTCAAGTGAAAAGCTTTGATGGAAAATGCAAAAGAAATGTGGTCACGAACCCAACTGGGGTCTGTTCTGGTCGTTACACCGAGGTATCCTAATTAATGGCAATATTTCCAAGCCATGATGTGAGAACCTTTAAAGAGGTACCAAAGGAGGAAGAAATGAGGCGGGAACATAGAGGAGCAGAGTAGCAGGAAGGCCAAATACAAGTAGTACTGCTGTACTTAATGTGATGGCTCATCCCTCAGGTTCATCAAAGCTTCATCAAAAGGTAAAATAAAGAAAAAATAACTTGTTTTCATGCAGTAAATTTAGCCGATTTGGAAATATCCTTTATAAGCTACTAATTCGTTAATCGGCTCCAATGAGAAACCATCATCTCCTTTATAAAAGTGCAAACAAATAGAGCTGCATGGATTCAGATGAACTAGAAAAAGTAAATAAAAAGGTCGACACAGAGGAATTGTGTTGACTTGTGGTTAAATGGGACCATCTTATGCTAAATTAGAAATGGGGAATATGGATAAAACCTTCTATTACAGCACATATGTACACACTATATGAATATATAACTTATCTACTTATACATATTTAACTTTTTTACATTATATATGATCAGATATTTACAGGTATGCAGTTGGTAATTGTTAGGTTTTACTTTTTTTTTTGCTGATCTTTTGAATGAGAGAATTTTTTCAGTATTCCTGGAAACACACTTTCACACAATACACAAAAGATGGACCAGACTCACTCATCTGTTGAGTAAATATGAAGCTACAACCAGTAGAAGTTTAGCTTAGCTTAGCATGAAGTAGGAAACAGGGAGCCTGGTTCTGTCAAACGGTAGAAATAAAACTGTTCTTTGATTTTATACAGTAAATTTGTCCACAATAAAAATATCTTTCATACGCTACTAATTGTTAATTGGATAAACCTGCTTATAAGACACTGTGATCTTCTGCATAAATACCTAAACACACATATGGACACACTGTATGTGGACATCAAGTATCTACTTATACATAATTAATTAGTTTACATTACAATAAATATACATGTATTCAGAAGTTGTTTGAAGGTAAATTAAGCAGATGGCATCTGTTTGGTAGAATCTGTGAAGAAAAGACAGATGTTTAGCTTAGCTTAGCATAAAGACTATAAACAGGAGGAAACAGGTAGCTGGGCTCTGTCTAAAGATAATAAAGCTCACTAATTAACATGCTACATTTGCATCATGTGCTGTAACAGCAGGTTGGTGTTGTTCTGGTTGTTATGAGGTTGGGCCAGACTATTACCTGGAGTCTTGTAATCGCTGTAAGGCTATCAGGCTGCTAGTGGAAACTATGGGACTTTGCAAGCTATAGATCTGTTACACTGACCAATAAAAAAACAGATACAGTGAAACTACAGTTACCTCAGTAGAAGCTACACATTGTTACATCAGCAGACCTCATGCATTAGTGCAGCGATGAGGTCGTCTACTCCTGAACGATGTTTGATCACAAAATGGAAAACACCTGAAAGATCTACTCGTCTCCTCGCAGGTGGACTTCGAGGCAGCAGCCCAGTCAGTGATGATGGAGACTCTTCGGGAGGTCAAAAGGTTACGGCCCAAAGCATTGTGGGGGATGTCCCCTTACCCCAGCTGCTACAACAACAGCCCCGCCCAAACCACGTTAGCCAACTACACGGGCCAGTGCCCTGCTGCGGAGATGGCCCTGAACGACGAGCTGCTGTGGCTGTGGAAGCGAAGCTCTGCCCTCTACCCTCTGCTCACACTGGACAAGCTGCAGGTGGGAACCGTTTCACGTATTTGCTCGTGCAAAATGTTCACGCACAAGCTACAATAACAGAAAAGAGTACGATCTACTTGGGAGCATCAAAACAGAGAACATAGCATAAGCTGATGAAAACATCTCGACTGCAGAAATCTGTAGAGTAAAACTGGAAACTTCTACGACAGCTCCTCTCTGACAATCTGTAAAAGTCAACTCATCTAAAGGCAGATTCATGATTTGACCAATATGAACTGTACGGACGCACAAGGTTCTGTTTTACTACAGAAGTTTTGTTGTCTTTCAGATCAAACACATAAGAACACACAGGGCTCTTGTGGAAGTTTGAAATGCAGCGACTTTTTACAGGATACAGCAGCTAGTAGCAGATTGAACTGCAGCACCGTGTCTATAAGGGCGCAGGATGAGAAGCATGCACACACCACAGCGCCCCCAAAGTCCTACAACATCTACTTCAATTACAATTCCTTAAACAATGAATTATAAACATGTGGGGAACCTCCTCATAACGTCTCTCCTCATAACTAACATTTGCTTTCTGTGTGGTCACAAACTTCGGGCTGCACTCGCAGACCCTTTGCAAATGTGAAAAGCATTAATTAAGCTTAAGAGTTAACAAATTAGAATATAACACTCCAACAAGTTCAATATAACTTCTGTACACCACTAAATATGTGCAATTACTTCCTCAGGGTGTCTATTTTTAACCCTTTTTGACACAAAGTGCTTTTTTTTTTTATAACGTTTACTTATTTATCTTTACAATGCATCTTTTTTTAAATATTTTTTTTATTGCTGCTGCTCTTACCTTTTTCTTTATTTTAATTTTTCCTGTATATAAAGCTGAATCGAGGAAACTCACAAAGAAACTCCATCATACCTGCACTGTAGCATACCGGTGCAAATGGTAATAAAACTCTCTTCTATTGTAGGAGTTTACAAAGACGACCCAGCTTCAGTTGTTCGGGCCGACGTGAAACCTTCTGACGTAAACTCAAGAGAAACGCTGTGAACGGAGCTTTAATGAACAAAAGACAGCGCAGTTTATTGTTGTTTAACCGGAATGTGTGCAATATGTCCTCCTCCCTGCAGAGCGGCACCGCCGGAGCCAGACGTTATTTATCGAGTCAAATAAAAGAAGCACTTCGAGTGTCATCTCTGGCCGGAGCCGAGTTCGACCTTCCCGTGTTCCCTCTGGTCAAGAGCGTCTACGCCTCGACCAACACTCCGCTATCACAGGTAAGATTACATTATATATCCAGCGTTTGATTCAGGTGCACTACGAATGAATTCCAGCTTAGAACACATTAGACGGCTCACCTTTACCCATCAAGGAAAAATCATTTCCAAAGAATTACATCAGCCACTGAAGCAGTTTGATTTCCAATTATTTTAAGCCCTAATGAACTAAAAATTGAAGGTACACGCAAATTAAAAGCATGAACAGGTCGCTCCAAGATGAGACAAACAACGATGACCCCCCGAAGCAGCGAGAGGAGGTGATAGATCTTAGAGACAGGGGGGAAGATGAGCGCAATCAGAGGGAGCTTTGTGCTAAAAGCATCATGTTAGAAAAGGATCAATGAGAAGACAGACGTAGAGTCCTGGTTCTTACATCTGGAGTGATTACTAAAAGAGAATAATTAAAGGTTGGAAGTGTGTTTTATCTTCTTCTTTCATTGTGCGTGTTTTTTGTACAGGCCGACCTGGTCAGCACCATTGGAGAAAGCGCTGCCATGGGAACAGCCGGAGTTGTCTTCTGGGAGAGAAGTGAGACGAAGACGGAGGTATTTTCACATTTACATAAAGTGCATACGCTCGTTAATATGCCTGTAGGTTTACTGGCAACCGAGCTCAAGATATGATTTCGTAGGATTTCAGTCTGTAGTTTTCTGTCTCAAATCTTTTGCCGCTCAGTTGTTTTATCTGTCAAAAGTGCAGCACGGTTTAAGAACAAACTTATAAAGGAAGCAGTGTCTCCTGTCTGTCTCATTACACAGCCAAACCCATCCATAGTCATAGATGGAGCATTCCTATTGGTAGAAAGAGCCTGAGGGGCAGGACACAAGTGAGACTTCTCCAAAAAAATATGTGCACAGTATGAAATTCAGCTGCTAATCCCTGCAGAGGCAATTAACTCAGATCTTTCATCATTAAATACGAGATTGTGATAATGTCTCTTGCCCGAGTCATTTTTGAGTTTAATCCACCGCTGCGACCGTCCGGCTCCGTTGTTTCTTTCTACATCCACCCGTCTGCCTGTCTGCGTTTCAGAGAGAGTGTCAGGGCCTGGCAGAGTTCGTCCGCAAGGTCCTGGGACCTTACTCCGTCAACGTAACCACGGCAACCCGGCTCTGCTCGGCCTCCCTGTGCCAGGGGAAGGGTCGGTGCGTCCGTCAAAACCCAGAGAGCTCTGCCTATCTCCATCTCCCACCCCCACCCACGGCGGCAGCAGCAGCAGCAGCAGCAGCAGAGAAGGTGCCGGAAAAGGTGACAGAAAAGGTAAGAAAAGGCAATTTTAGGTCAACTTCAAGATGCATGTGTGCTGAATTTATTAACCCTGCTTAAGCATTGGATTGTATTTTTAATATATTCAACAAGAAGCCTGTTTCACCTTGTTCAGATAGAAACTGGTGAAGCATCAAGGCAGCTTTGTTTCACTGTGGAGAGCTATGAAATATTCCAGAACATGTGGCGACCAAGTCTTATGAAAGATGAAACAGGTCCAATCTATCCATCCATCCATCCATCATCTATACACCGCTTAATCCTCACTAGGGTCATGGGGGGCTGGAGTCTATCCATCAGGGCGAAGGCAGGGGACACCCTGGACAGGTCACCAGTCTATCACAGGGCTACACTTAGAGACAGACAACCAAGCACACTCACATTCACACCTACGGACAATTTAGAATCACCAATTAACCTCAACATGTTTCTGGACTGTGTGGGAGGAAGCTGGAGAACCCAGAGAGAACCCACGCTGCACGGGGAGAACATGGAGACTCCACACAGAAAGATCCCGGGTGTCCTCACCGGGACGCGAACCGGCGACCTTCTTGTTGCTACCAACTGCGGCACCTGGCAGCCCGGGTCCAATCTAGTGTCCACTTAATTAGCTGAACACACATTTAACACAACTGCCCTGAAAAATAAGTCTTTCAGTGATCTGTTGGTGTTGAAATAGCTTTTTTAAAAAGCCGCTGATTCATGGAAGCTTTAGATTTTGGTGCTTTTAACATTCAGTCTGTTCTCACTCATATAAATTGAACACATCTAATGTTTTATCTACATGTATGTAAAACAACATGGGGCCTGCATTTGAGGAACAAACGACGATTAACATATTGTACACACTCGTGGGACACATGAGCGTCATACAGAAACTCCCTTCAGAAGATCTCCAACTACTTCTTTGACTTCGTCACTCTTTCTGTTGCTTCCCAAACTATGTGTCCACGTGGTGACAAGAACCGACACAGAGACACAAGTTCCCAACTCGTGTGCTCTCTCTGTGTGGAAAGTTGGAAACTAATTTTGCGGCAAGACAACCAGGCATGCTTTGTAGAAAAAAACATAGGGGGAAAAACAGCAGGGAGTCCTGTCGCCTGAGGATCTTCTGTCTTCAGACAGGCAGCAAGAAAGAGGAAAACCGTGGCTGAGATGCAACAGAGGAGGATCCAGTAGAGTTTTGATTCTCCACCACTGAACACCGGAAAACTGTTACAATCATATTTTGCAAATGTCTGAATGGGGCTTTGGTAATAATCAATGGTTATAAAAAGTGTAATATAAAGTAGGAATCATTGCAGAACACTGTGAGAAAACAGATTCTTCCTTCTGAGTTTCAGTCACTTCACCAGATTCAGACAGAAATCAAAACATGTCAAACATTTCCTATGAGAACAAATGCGGCTGTTTGCTAACGTTATTTTCCATCGTCTCTCTCAGGCAGAGGCAGCAAAAGCCACACTTCAGCCAGACACAGACACCAAAGCAGCCGAACCGGATCCAGCTGAGATCTGGAAGAAGGACTTCCAGTGTCAGTGGTACAAGACTGCAGACGGGGACGTCTCGGACCAGCAGTCCCCCAAAGACGGAGCCTCTGTCGGGAGAACGGTGCAAGTCGGAGCTACGAGAGCTTCTGCAATAGCTTCTGCAACAAAACGTGCCTCTGTGACTGAGTTTAGAGGAAGTAGTTCACCTGGTACTGGAAGTCCGATGCCTTCGGTACCTACAGACGGTGGAACCAGACCACTGAGTGGCCTCGACTTGACTGCTTTGCTGTTGCTGGTGGCTGGAAGCCTTTGCCTGGATCCTTAAAAAATCTGAACTAAACCAGCCGTCACCTGGGAGATTAGACTTGTGAACATGAGCCCGTCTGAAGTGCCCTTGAGCCAGACACTGAATCCCTGCTAGCTGCGGGTGTGCTGCTTTGCTGCTGAACACAATGTGGAGAGAGTTCTAGAAACGAGGAGGACAAACTGTGTCTGGAGCTGGATGTGCCAACAGACAGTGGTACAAACACTTGTCGCTGTTTTTCAGTTTCTACTGACTGCATATTGTTTTCTCTTTAAAAGAAGTGACAAGAATGACTCGAGCTTATTGTCATATCACACGATTTGGTTATCTAACCTCATCACAGACTGGTTAAAGTTTATAAAACTGCACTCGAGGACGTCTTTGCACATTTTGTTTTCACATTGAGTGTTTGAATGTTTGTTATATGGAAATGAATTTGCCCTTTTAAGGCCTAACATACTCTGGTTTCTCTCCCTGTTAAATACAGATGTCAGCTTAAGAGGCAGGTTCACCTGAAGAAAAGATAAAAACAAACAAATAAAAAACAAGAAACGCCATTGAAATTACATTCTCCAAAGTATCCAAAGGAAGTGGCAGCAGGAATGTACCACTCCACCAGAGCAAATAACACAAAAATATTAATTTTTCTTCTTTTGATTGAGGTAAACTGAACCTTTAATCTGCCTTTAAAAGCTATTGGCCATTAATTAGTTGATTTTTTTGCACAAACTTTCAGCTAAAAGTTTGAGTATCAGGAATTTACAAGCAACCAAGTCCAGTGAGACTAAACATGGTTCAATCCTATGTCAGTGTACAGTCAGCACAGTATCTGATTTATTTCTTCATTTGTTTGTGAAATGGACCAACCAGCAAGAGAAACATTTACTTTTTGTGACACTGACTTCCCTACAGAGTTTTCAACAGTCACAGAGAAAGCTCAAAGTAAGCCACAAAAACCGAAAGAAAAATGGCGTCACTGAAAACCAACCAACCACTGATCACAAATCACTTACCGTTTTCTTTACAAGCCAAAAAAAGAAATTTGTTGTTTGAATGAAACACACAAAAAAAATTTATGACTGAGTTTGGAAACTAAACAGCTCCATACAACACAATAAAAATCATTTAGGTGAAGCTTGAAGTAGTTTTAAGTTCGTTATCTGCTGAATATAATCCTGGAGAGGATAAAAGACGGCCTTGACTTTTTTCATGACAAAAAAAAAAAGAAGAATATCTGTTCCTGGGCTACTAATTCTTGCATATTTATAAAAAGACACCAGGCTCTACCAACCACAGATATTAACAGTCTTTAAAATGTCCATCTGCTGAGCCGCAGCACATATTTTCTCAGCTCTCTGGCGCCCTCTGCCTGACGTCTGGTGAAACTACACCATCTTCTTTTCCTCGTCACTGTAGAAAACACTCAGTTGTAAATAAAACAATTACTGACGGCTCAATTCCATTTAGCTGCTTCATTTCCAGGGTCCTAGTGTTGTTGTTGACCGTCATTTTGTCACGTTTACATGTGTGTAGATATATTTTTTTTATAAATCTGTGTCGTTTCCTCTCTATTCTGTTAACACAAAGATCAGACGGTTGGTTTCGGTTTTTTTGCAGCTCATGTAAATTTATTTGTTATTTTTCATTAAAATATACACTCAAGACGAAGGGTATCTAAATCATTTTTAGTTACAGAAAGAGATCATATGTACACAGGTGCATCTGATTGTACAACAGAAAATGAACCAATCATACATTTATATATATTATGAACAAGAAAATGACATTTCTTCTCTCATCGCTCGTCTCAGGGATCGTTTCTCAAAAAAAAAATCTACCAAGGCTTCCAAACATCGGCCCTCTAGACATTTGTGTTCACCTACAAAAGAGCATTTACATCTTCATAGCCACGTTTGTTTCCGCAACCTCAAGGGATTCAGGACGATCGTAAACTTTTAAATATATATATATATATAGCTTTGATATTTTAACAATGCTCCCATTCCTGTTTGAATTTTCTCCCGACAGTTTTCACAGACTTCGCCTGACAAGGTAAGGAAAGTGACAAGAAGACAAAGAGCAGATTTTACATCAACAGCCAGAATAAATAAATTTTTCCGTAAAGCCGATGACGTGATTTTTGTCGATCGAGGTGAAAGAGAGTACAGAACTTCATATACAGACAGTCAAGAGTCACGCTGCTGCTCCCGGTTCTGCTTCCAAATGTGACATTTTAGAGCAGATTTCAGCATCGATAACTCGTCCCAGGTTAAAACGTGTACTTACCTTGTTTGCAGTTTTGCTCCCATGGAGATCAAATATCCCAAAAAGTACTTCGGTAGTCGGTTTTGGATAAATCGTAAAATACAAATTACATAATGGCTGCCATTCGTAGTAGGTGCATGTACGAGTATTCGCATTGAGGTCTAGTACATGATCTACTACAAGGAACCCACCAGTGCAATGACAGAAGCACCACAGTCTCTATTAAATCAAGTACAATGACTTATACTTGATTAAATGACACATTTATTGCCTTTGTCATGAAGTACTTTAACAAATACTTCCTTCAGTTCACATCCTGTGTCCTGAAACCTTCATTGATTTGAACGTAATTTTTAGGGTTTCATCCAGTGAGGAATTAATGCAGAAGAAATCCCCCAAAAGAGTGAAACTTGTTGCCACAGACCAAACTGACTCCTCCACGATGTTTACTTCAGTCCTCAGCTGGCAAACTGTCGATAACGGTGCTTCAAGAGCAACTTAATGAATTCAAAACGTGCTCTGAAACCGAGTGCTGCTAATGCATAAATTATTTCTTTTTAAGTGGCTGAACTGAAACAGAACCACCACGATCCATGCCATGAATGAACAATCTTCAGCATGGATCGATTTGGCGTTTTCGTCACTTTTCCATGACAACTGATCTTCATCTAAACAATCTATTAGCAGCAGAACATCTATCTTTGCCTTTTCTCAGTTTGACGTGTGTGCCGCAGGACATCCGGCTATCAAAGCGTGCGCAAAAATGTTACTTTAAGGTAATTAAATTGCTCATTTAGAAGCAAAACAGCCACCGCACACTGATCTGAGGCCTTAGTCAGTGTTTCCTGGAGCAGTGGAGGCATGTAAACCCACTGTGGACTTCACTTTATTCACTTCTCTAATGCTATCAAGCTGTTTTTCAGCACAGATGAGACAGTTTTTGGACTCTCAGCCCCATCCGTGCTCAAAGTGATAATGTTCTGATTTTTAAAACACTCACAACGATGAAACCCTCGTAAGTCCACAGTCGCACAACCAGGAAATGTGTTTACAATTTAGCTTGCAGCGTGCAGTCGGAGGAAGCAGAGAAATTTACGTTCCCGTGATAAACTCTGGTGCAACTAAATGATCAGGAATCAAATGAATTCTGGACTTTGTGATTTTGCATCTTCTCAGGAGATCAGTGTCTGTGTCCAGCTCGATCCTGCAGCTTCTCAGGATTATATTACTTATTCTGTGAAGGCTACGTAAGATATTTTTCCAGTTATTTTCTCGTCTCGGGTTGCACTGACTCAGAAGAGTAAAGTGAGGTATCAGCTCAAACGGCATGACTGGTTTATATAAGAGAGGAAAACCTGTGATTTGAAGGTTGACAGCTTGGTTTGAATTGATGAACGACGTGAGAGAATTGGAGTGAAACACGTTCGGTACCGACTGAGCTCATGACACAGTACCCTTCGCTGACTGTACTGGTTCCCAGTGACACAGAGACACAGTGTTTTAGTAAAGCATGCTGAGGAAACTGAATAAATAAACATCTTAAAAAAAAACAGACGGAGACACACGCGTGATGCTCCTCTCCCCTAATTTAGCCTGCAGTGAAACAATCTGATCTCTGTTGCATAAGATTAAAAAATAGACTTTCTGTTCTTGTGCAAAAGTCACTGTCTTCTCAGCAGTTTGTTCTCGCCTCTCCAGAGACAGAGAAAGAAACATCACCCCCGCGTGGAGGCGAGAGGTTAGTGCAATCTGAACCAAGCAGGCTGGACGAACAACAACAAACTCCTTCGACGTTAACGTGGAAAACGAGGGCATCTATCCCGCCATCTTCTCAGTCTGTGTCCAGGGCACAAGTGACTCCAAACGAGGTTAATCTATGAAATTCTGTGTCTTGACAACTTGATTAGAGGAGATGCTTCGAAAAAGAGAAGAAAAAGCTCAGCCCCAGGAGCGAATTAAGCATTTGAGATCTCACAACACAAACATGGTCGTCTTCAAACGATGAACAGAGGAACAATGAGTGCCAATCACCCAGCATGCCTAGTAGCAATGGTTCTGGGACTCCAGAGGTGCACCGAGTCTTGGCTGCAGAGTGTGTGTGTGCTACCTGCTGAGGGATGGAGTTGCTTGCAGACATCCTCGTTCGGGGATGTGCTCGACGTTGGATCTTTGCAGCCGGGACGTGTTTTTTGTTTTTTTTTTTCGCACCAGGCGGGCGGCGTTTACTTGCAGATCGCCTCCAGAGCGTCCAGGGTGCGTTTGATGTCGCGGATTTGTGCTGCCAGGGTGTGAATGGGCTGCATGGAGCGATCCAACTCTTCGCAGCGAGCCATCAGCGTGTACATGCCCTGTGGAGGCAAAAATAAACAAATTAGGCCTTAGACATATCAGAAGAGGATATAATTATGCAAACTTGGCAAGAATTTGGTGGTTTGTTTTCCACAAACCATGAACAGTTTGGTGTCAATTTATTCTAAAAATACATTTTGTTAAACTCTATTCCTGTAAGATAATAATCATATTATGATAAAAGCAACACGTGTCCAAGAACATGTTGTAAAGTTAAGATAAACTAGATAAAAATGAAAGAAGTTCACATATAATCAATCTTTAACCAGCTAGTGGACCCACTCACTGTTATGATGACCTGAACTACCCACAAAATTAAACATGCACTTGTTACTTTAGGTGAAAGACACACATACGATACCTTTATACTCATGTCTACAGACTCTCCCAGGCTGTCAACTGAGTCTCTGTAGGTCTGAATGTAGCCCACACTGAGAGCTGTCATCTGGAGGAACAGACAGATGGACAGAGATCAGTCAGTAACACAAACAGAGACAGAAGTGAGTGACAACAAGATGGTAGAAAGAGACACTAAAACTCAGTTTTGAGCACGTGATAGCGTGATGGCGGCGCGCATAGACGCAGCGCCCCTTTCAGGAGACAGCAAGAGTGAACATTTCGTGTCTTATCCCAGACGTGCATGTCGCAAAACTTGCTAATTAAATGATCCTGAAGAAACGCTCTCTCATCTTGCCTGTACTACTGTGTATGTACAGCAACATGACAATAAACCTGATTTGATTTGATGCAATGTACTGTAAGTAAATACATTAGTGCAATATCATAAGATCACCCTCAAATAATCACATAGCGGGACATTTGCAGTGATACAGCAGCAAAGAGGATAGTTCAAAAACATAAGGAACTATAAACAAATACATAAATAAACAAGAAATATGCATAAGTCCTGTTTACATTGTACAGGTTCTTCTATTTCTAGAAAATCTAAATTCCTCTAAATGTGGAAAAAAAGCAGTTATTGTTTATGTAGAAAAATCTTGATAGTGCACAATAACAGTAACACACTAATTACAAAGGACTAATTGATCTAAATACACAATATACCGTAACCTGAGGTCATTTGAGCCGACACAGTTTAAGACTCACGTTCTGGATGGTTCCATTGAGGCTTCTCATCATCATCTCCACGCTGTGCGCCACTTCCTGGGTGTGTCTCTGAAGGTCCAATAGGACGGCAGGATCGATGGGTGGGATGTCCGCCGGTCTCCGTGTCAAGCCCCGGCTCCTGTAGATGGGACCTGAACAGTCCGCTGGCGAGACAAGATGGTGGAATTAATATTCAACATTGTTTTGTAATGAAATAAATAGCGTAATAAAAAAATGGCATAACCTATAAAACGTCAAAGAAAGAAGAATCCAAAACCTTGAGAAGCTAGATAACATTTGCTTGATATCATTTTCCATTATACTGAGAAATGATCGTGTCATTTTGAGAAACAATCTTTAGTTTTCTGCTGATTTAGTTCAGCACGACAGTTAAAAGTAGAAGAAAGTGACCAAACAAAACACACACAAGAGCCCCTGAAGAATTATTCTCATTTCAAGAAAACCTGCTCCTATAAAAAGCCAATCTTCACACATTTAAACGCGCACTTAACCCAGAGCAGCCTTGAGCCGTTCAATCTCCACGTCCACAAAACGCATGCGGTCAGTGGCTGCATCTCTATCTCCGAGAAAGTTTCCTGTCAGGCTGCAGCAGGACCTCGGTAATAAATCCGTCCAGTTTAAACAAAGTCTCTGAGTCATCCATCTTAATTGAATCTGCAGGTAGAAGGAATGAGCTGCCACAGAGGCCATATTGACTGTGTTCCTGCGTTTAAATTGAGTGGCCGGTTGAGCCGACTCTCTCATCAGGAGAGGTTTCTGAGTGAAGGGCAGCGGTTCCTGGAAAATCTGACAAGACAGACGGCAGCTAATGGACACGCTCCGCGGGGTCAAGACGCCGAGCTAAAAGAGATAATTTATTGTCTGAAATAGCTTGTGACCTTTTGGAAAACATATCTGCTTCTGAGGTCGAGTCTCTGCTTTCTTATTATGCCCCAGATTTTGAAATTGGGTTCCATCATGCACATAAGGAGCCACTTCACAGATAGTCGTCGCTCTGATCTCAGACAAATTTGGAGAATAATGGTGCATCGTACAAGCTATGGAAACGACTGAGATATCTCCCAGAGGGAACAATGAGGCAGCAGAGCACCACCTCATGTGATCTTATGGGGGACGCAGAAGTAAACAAAGAGTCTGTGGTGCAATAACTTTCTGTAATACTTTGCAGTGAGAAACAACAAAAAGCTAAATGAGTCTGGATGAGAAAGTGATTGGGGGGGATGTGATTTTTCAGCAATTCTTCTGCATGCTAACTAATGTTAGCTGCATGGTTTAGCATGGTTAGCGTTGCTTGACAACAACATTATCTGCTCTGTTGTAATAACCGTAGCCATCCAGATTATAACTCCTAAATACCAAATATGTTCTGTTTGGTGAGTGTGTAAGCAGTTCAGGAGGTTTCAGACTGGATCTGTGAATCCCCTCAAAGGACCTCCTTTGGGATTAATGAATTTATCTTATAGGATCACATTACCAAATAATCTGAGCTGCACATCAGTTCAGACCAAGATCTCTTCTCTAAATGTCAGGAGGAGTGAAACGAGGATAAATCAGACAAAAGCTCCTGTAGTCTGAGCCCAGCATTTCAAACACAGACTGCTTTATCAGCCCAGAACAAGTAGGAAGATGGAGAGCGCAAAGAAAGAATGATTCAGCTAAAAACCAAGAGAGGCGGGTTACGAAGGAGTCTGTAAGCAAATCTGTAATTCACTTGCTTCAGGGATGGTTTCTCCAACCACTGGCCGCTCTTCTTTTAAAATGTTTCCCAAACTCAGCTGCATTTTGTAGGACAACCAGTTAACTTGAACAGTAATGATCTGGGAGACGATGGGTTAAAAACAATCAAAATGTCTCAATCTTTGCTATAAAAAAAAAAAAAAAAGGAAGAGAAAAACTGAGTACAAACATGACACCGATAAGATGTGAAAAAGCTGTTTAACAAGATCTGATAACTATCAGAACGCTGCTGATGCTTGTTTGGTGCCACTTGTTATCTAAGTAACTGCATGTTGAGGGTTTACTGGTGTTGGATCTACTGCTGGCTTTATGGTGGCAGTCATTCACTACTACTAACTGTTGTACCTGTGAGCTGTATTCTGGTATTTGTTGACAACATGTCTGTGATAACTGAAGATGATTAACGGTTTCTCTCTTGGATTTGATCAATGTGAATTTTCTTTCAATATTTGTCCAAACTATTCATAGTTATGTAGCGTACTTCCTGACTGAACCAATAAATCAGCCTTTCCTGTTTCAGTTCCCCACGGTGCTCTGTGACACTACCTATTTATATGTCTGTACATATACATTCATACATTTTCCTTGTTTTTGTAAATATTTATGCCAAGTTTGTTATTTGTATGTAAGGAGAGAAGTCACAAACTGATTCTGATTCTGACATGCTTGGCTTACAACACTCATTTTCACTGAATCTGCTCGACCAGAATAACAAATAACAACAATAAACTGATAACTATCATTAAAAAAAAAACGTACGCTGTATGCTAACTGTAGCTGCTGCATACCACCAAGTCAAGGTAGTATAGAAAGAATACACTCATGAACAGAAGTAGACATGCACTTTGGATGAACACTGATTTATGTAAACCAGCTCATAATGAAACCTCAGGAACGGCAATTCATTTGTTTAAGTTAGTGCATCAGTTCCCCATTACTTCCTATGGGCTACGAATGACCCAAAGCTATGCATAAATGATGAATATTAGCTGACTGGGCCTGTTAGCATCTATAGGGGAAAGCTATCTGTCAGTGTGACAGTCAGACGCCTGTCAGAGCAGTTTTAAAAGTGCTGCCGGTAAAAATATTATTATCCTCCTCAAATATGATTTCTGACACCTCCTTCTGCAAATACAACATCTGCTAGAGCCTTCTGGCCCTCAAGTATAAAGACAAACACATTAATATTGCATATGAAATATATATATGAACATTTTCTCTGCTGCAAACGCAGAAAGAAGTCTGTCTCTGTGCACACAACCACCTACAAGAAGAGGAATTTCTGCTGCTACTGTTCTGGACTGGAGGCCAAAGGGTCCATCATTGGCCTCATACAGGATAAGTCATCACAGCAGTGTTTTCAAAGGCCACACACAGGCCTCTTAGAAGTAATCATCTCTCCTCACAGTCTGCTGCAGCCAGGGTCATGGAGATATGTGGAGCCTCGGGGCTACTGTGTCTAAAGAGCAAACTTGGCTGAGCATGTGATGAGCTGTGTGGGTGCTAATAGACACTCTGCTGAAGGATACCGTTCCCTTCCGTCACGACATCTCTGGTTCTCCTTGATATCGAGCGGCGATAAACGCTTCTACTCAATACATCTGAGTACGCCCAGCACAATGAACCCGACCTCACCACATTTCCACTCCACCTTCTCAACACGAAATCTTGTTATTGGATCATAAACACCATGATGTACTCACAGTCGCTGCAGTCCAAACTGGGCTTGGAGCTCATTTTGATCTTCTGCTCCAGGTTCTTGGTGATGAAATTAGTCAAGTCTCCTTCATGGCTGACTGTTCCCTCGAGTTCCAGTGCTGAGGAGATGGTGGCCCGTCGGCCCTCCGACTGGCCACTTCTTCCTCCTCCTCGGGCCCCTAAACCACCTGTGAAGAACATGCTATCATCAGC